CAGCTTTAGGAACCAACCACGTCGCAACCTTCTCTCTGATCAACCAGTCTTGTCTTTCTGGGGTCCACCCTACACCTTTCTTAAAACACACACTCTGAGTACACACTCCTGCTCCTTCATCACAAAGTGGATAAACTTTTGCTACGACTTAAAGAAAACATGGAAAAAGGCAGCACTGCCCTGTAGCTGTCATGATGTCATTGGTCCCTCTACTCAGCTTTAGTTATCTGGAACTGAACATGTATGTGTATGTATGTGTGTGTGTTTTTTTTTTCTCAGCCTAATAAATCCCGACAGACCCTCGACAATGAGCTGGATGAAGTTTCGCGTTTCTCTCACTCAGACGCTCATCCTATGGACTCTTTGCTCCAAAAAGGTTATACCTGCCACCCACGTTCAAACCTGAATGCAAACACAACATAAACAGAATATATGTTATATGCAAATTACTACGGTTCCTTGATGTCAACATGATGAATTCTAATCTTTTGAGCCGATTAACCCTGATTGAAGGTTTGGTCACATTATTTTGTTTTCTCCGAACGTAGGTCCTGTTCTAAAACATTTGGGAAAGCTAGAATTGTAGGTGTTACTAGCTGTACCATATACACTTAAATCTTTAAACTACATTGTTTTGTCTTTTTCGTTTTCATAACATACTATAAAATAAGATGTTTTTTTTCTTTCTTTCGTTTAGTTTTTCTTTCATTTCTTCGTTAAACTTCTATGTTACTCCTGCAGCCACACGACTTCTGCAGAACGCTAAGCGGCGGTTTATTTAGGTTCTGCACGATATATTTCACACTCGTCTGGAGTGGTACAGTGGCAGGTCCTCGCCTCCCATACGTTGCCACCAGAAGGTTCGAGGCTCATTACCACCCAGTTCCCTAGTCCCAGGTTACAGGGAGGCTGTGTCAGAAAGGGCATCTGGTGCCAAAAAACAAGGGTAAGGCCAAAAGTGATTCTTCACCGCAAATGTCAAATTCAGAATTCCTCAAGACGAGGTGAAGGTTTCTTTCTCTGATTTCGTCTTTGCCGTCTTTACGTTCCGTAGTCAGTACATTTTTGTACAGTGGCGACCAATGGTTCAAGGCTGACTTTTTTTGAGTGTGATGAAGTTTTCTTTGGTTCATATAAACATGTTTTTTTGACTGTGATGAAGTTTTCTTTGGTTCATATACTTTACTTACTTAATCACATTTGTGTGAACCGTGATGGTGCGTCACATTTCACTGGTGTATTCGTGGCAGTTGTGTGCCATGTATTCACGTCGGCAATGACGCATCTCACCTCTGCATTTTATGTTCCTCACTTCAACCAATTCATTTTCACCCACTCTTGTCCGTTCACTACACACACATACACACACACACACACACACACAGTGAAGGATGAAGTCATTATCAGCTCTAATAGGTGACGTGCCAGTTATTTCCACTGCAGGGAAATAACATGACAGCAAAACAAACGACACCATTAGTCATAGTTAACACTGCCTGTAAATCAATGTGTGTGTGTGCGCGTGTGTGTGTGTTGTATGTTTTAACAGGTTATTTGCTCCATGAGTAAAACCAGTGGAAAATATGAACCGTTAAGTGACTGACAATGTATGATGAGTGCAGTCAAGTGTGCATACACACACAAACACACCTAAAACACACACACACACACGCTCCACTGTTCATATTTTCCACTACAGGACTGCTGCAGGCTGACCTGGACTCACTCACATGAATGTTTGTCAAACCTGGAGCTGAAGTGGACTAATTCAAAAAGTGGGCAGAGTCAAAAGACCAATCAGCTTCAACCTCCAATTGTTATTATTATTATTTTTTAAATTTCTCTACATTATTAACACACTACACAGGTGAATGCATAAATGATTGATCGCCATCATAACGATGTTAAGGAGGACCAGGATGCAAAGACATAGATATTCCCAGTGATCACATCTGCATTATCAAACATGGACATTACATTTCAATTTGGAAACTGAGCTCACTAACTAAGCCTACGTCTCACCTGATGTATAACATTATTAAACATTTTCACAAGACTACGGACTAGACTACTTTTTTTTTTAGTGGTAACTTTAAACTTTAAAGACCTGTGCAGCAAACTTCAAACTTCAAAATGTGTGCCACTTGCACAAACAAGCCGTCCTCCACACCTACAGGCTTCGCTTCACGAATGGAAGAAAACATATTGTGTTTCATGAACCTACACATCCTCGTATGAGCACAGAGAGAGCAGCTGTGGTGGTTAGATCATCAGTTTGTACAGCGGGCTGGTAACCTGTCCTGCGTCAGTAGGTGTAAGTAGTAACATTAGGCAGGGGGTGTGGGACGGAAGAGCCAGGAGTGAAGGGGGAGGTGGAGGATGGAGGAATGGTGTGGAAGAGAAACAGAAAAAGTGAGTGAGGTTGAGTGTTAGCATAACCCGAGGCTTAAATGTGTCATTTCCATTTAAACACCAGGGAAATCAGGCTGTCGGCAGGAAAGCCTCTCTGTTATTATACACACATGCAGCATCACCGCCGACTCCTTCATTTTTTCATTGCCTTAATTACCTTTAAAGAGGAGCATGTTATGATCCTTTTTATGCAAATGCATACGGCTCCTTGAAATGTGATGTTAGTAAAATTCTTTGGTAGAAAAAGCTGAAGGTTTAAACACAGCTTGATACTTTTCACCTGTTTAACAGCCCTGATCTGAATAGCTGGTTTCTGTGCCTTTACCTTTAAATGGTAATGAGCCACTGTCTGGCTCACTCACTTCTTCCATGGAAGACTAAATTCTAAGTAATATGTTTTAAAATTTTGACAAAAAAGTTTTATTTTTTAAATTCCAAAATGCATATTAAATTAAGATTTGTTAATTAGTAATGTATTTTTTTACAGTTATGGCAGGAATTAGCTTATCAGGCCTGTCAGATTAGATAAGCCCAGAGTGACAGTAACTGTAATACTACATCTGCTGTAATACGGTGGCTCCTCGGCCCCATCGCACCTTGTATGTATTACTGTTTTATTCATTTTTTCTAGGGAATCTTCTCCCTTAGAGGCTACAGAAACTGAAGTGTTAACAGCCAACATTGGTTGGAGACTGAGCAACTTACAATGAGACAGAAACTAGTTTTTTAAAGATATGTTTAAAACATTTTTTAGGATTATGTGGAAACAGCAGTAGGTTTGTGTATGTTCTAATCAACAGCTAACATATAAATATTCGAAAGACTAATAAATGTTACAAATTAAATTTGACAGCCAATTGCTTCACACATATGACAGGCATATTAGTCAGTCAGTCTGAGTTTGTGCATTGGACGGAGTTCTGTGCCTGGTGCCTGGTTGGACCACTGATGTAAGACTGCAGTAGTTTTGTTTGGCATATGTTTTGAACTACTTTATAGGTGATTAATTTACATTTCTGGAACATTTCTCAACAATGTGATATTTTATTGGAGTTTGGCTGCATTTTAATCCTGTTGCCTTGTTTTTGGCAACCGCCATGACCACTGTGGTTTTTGTGCTTGTGTTACTTCTTAACTTTAAGAGTTGAGGTTAATGTGTAAAGCAAGTGATTTGAGACAATCTCTGACGATATACTTCTACAGAGTTTGTTTTAAAACTTTATTTATTTTGCTTAAAAAGGGGAAAACATTTCTGAGCCTGACTCTTTTTCAAAGAGCTATTGCACAGCTGCATTTTGTGTCCCAGCCCTGTGTAACAAGATAAAAAAAAACACATTTAAGAAAAAAAGAAGAATTAAGAAAGTTACATTTTAACTACTTATCAAACATGCTGGATGCAAGTTGCCTGTGCTTTAAATATAGACTTACTTTCCTAAGGAAAGACTTACTTTTGAATACATGTGTTGATACATACTTGACTTTTGTTTTCTTTTTCTTCCATGGGTTCCTGTTGAGACAGACATACACATACACAGGGCTGCAGACTAAGGTGCGGCGGTCGCCGTTATTTATGTCTGCTTTCTTTAGCAGAGGTTTCTCACAGGAACAGGAGCCGAGCATGAATCCAACACTTCCTCTGAGCTTGTCATTTATCACTCTTTATTAAAACACCAGACGCACATACACACACACAAGCACACTTTCTTTGTTTCCCTTATCACTCTATTCAGTGTAGACCAATACATCAGATATAAATGTTATATCAAACAAAAAACGGAAACATTACCCAACTCTGAGTCTGGCCATCGGCTTTTAAAAAAAGTCACTTTGAATGAAACATTATATCTTTCAATATTTTTTGTGCATGTGTTTGTTCATGTACTCGAAATTTGTCTTGTTGCGGAAACAAAACAATTTTTGTAATCATCTCATTTTGAAAACAAAAAACATTACACATGTGTCCACATGCAAATTTGAGGGTTTGTGATGAATGGTGAGGAAGGTTAAAGCACTAGAAATCCATTATAATATTTCTGGTTGAGTTTAGCCTTAGCTAAAAAAGGGCTATTAATATATATTTATACATCTGGATAATATATTTTAAATATATTTGGATTTTATTTTAGGGTAAATCTATACCATGTATGTATTTGTTAATATTATGGTATTTCATTTTTGCACACTGTTTTTACTTTTTGGATGTTAAGATATTTACAAGAACATCAGTGAAGTTTGATGACTTGTGGCTTTAAAATCCCTGTTTCCTCCCTTATCCTGTTAAGTGAATGTAGACACTCTTACTATTTGATACAATATGATGTTGGATTATATATTATATATTAGTCATCTTTTAACTATCTCAGTTGTTTTTTAATGCAAAATATATAAAATACAGGTAGAGACGAATAATAAAAATAAAGAAAGAACATGTATATAATCGGCAGTAACAAAGAGCTCAGCGTGTAGTAAAAATCATTAGATAATTTAAAGAATGACCGTCACAATTTAAGTAATAATAATAATAATAAAAGAACAAAATCTCGGTCTGAGCAGACGGACCGTTTCTCTGCAAAAGTCTATCTTCCTCGCGGACGTTGTTTCTTGTCGGACCGATTCCGCTGACATTGCTAAAGGGGGCGGAGGTGCAGAGGCACTGCTACCCTGAGAGAAACTATAGGCTTAAAGTGAACAGGCCCGAAAGCCGAGGCAGTCCGCTTCTCATCTCCGAGTTCCGGTCAAACGCGGAGTCATGTACCGGCGGCCGCTGCAGTCCGCTGTCAGGAGACTGGTCAGCGGGGCGGCGACCAGGGCCGCCCCCCTGCAGGTAACCCCACGCTGTCGGTCACGGCTAACATTAGCTCAGCTGCTAATGTGATTAGAGCTGCGTAAAGTTGTGTAAGGGGAGCTAATGACAGGATGGACGGCAATTTAACGTCATAGATAAATAAAATAAGTCAATCGCACACACCAGCACTGTATGTAGATTTTTTACACACGATGGTCGATCGAATTTTATATATTAAAAAGTCAGAAACTTTTAAAGATAAAAACTGATCACAGTCAGCAATTTAAGAGACTTTCTGATTGAATCTCCTAAATTCAAACGGGTGCAGTTTTTTTTATATCTGCAACACTTAACGATTTACTCCTATTCATTTATTATTTGAATGATTATGTTTTTGAAAATATTTCAGTCTGTTGCTTGACTAAATAATCTGCATTTTGCAGAGCTCTAAATACATTCTTGTGCCCGACCATACAGAAACATCCTTCACAAGATATAAATACTTAGAATACTTCTTTAAGCACAAACAATATGAAGTCACACAGAAAATAACGTCTTTGTTCAAGTTAAAGTACTTTCAGAACTGAACAAACTCAGTTGTAAGCTCCTTAAAAAATAATCAGAAGGCTTTGCTGGAAGAACTGCACATTAGCATACAAGTAGCATAACAAGAAATTGAAGAAACATTTACTTCTGTTTTTGTGAAAGTAAATATTTCTTTTTCAGTTTTCAGACATTGCTAAAAACAGTTTGGAATAGGTTACAACTTTTCATGTTTTGCTGTGTTCATGCGTTCTTTTCATCTTTATCCAGGTATTACATGAAAAATCCAGCCTGAGCAGAGCTTTAGTCACATGCCAGCGAGCCAGAGTCTTCTCGCCTTTTGTACCTCAATGTCGAAGCTACCACATCAGCACACAGGTAAAAAAGAGACTATGTTACATTGCTTTTTTTTTTTTTTAAATGTTCCCACCTCATAAGGCAGTTATGTCACTGAGATCAATTTGAGCAAGGATTTCACACACATTTTATTGGTGAGAGATTATATTAATATATTTTGATCCTGAACACATTTTATTGGGAGATTATATTAATATATTTTGATCCTGGGGAAAAACAGAATATATGAGAAAAGTTAAATATGAGACACACAATAAATCAGGTATCGGTATTGTTACTGTACTCTTCATAATAAACATCTTGACACAAACCCATTGGACGGCGCTCGGTTTATCAATATCAGTACCTGAGGTTTTTTGCTAAGGATGGCTTGATACAACTTTTTCATGTCAAGAAACCGCAATTTAGAGTATCTGCCGATACCAATCTCAGTCTATAACTTTTCTCCTTCAGCATGCCACGGGCTGCTGTTGCTGAGGCGATAGTGCACCTGTTTACGGCATGTCGTGCAAAGCCAAGTTGAGCATTTGGGCTGACATTCAGATTCATGTTTGAGTGAAAATGGCCAAACAGCATGTCGAGCTATTATCAAAACAACACTGACTTGAACATAGAAGTGTGTTTAAATCTGACTATACATACAGTATTTAGGAATCTAACAGTCAAAATGTTAGCCATGTTGCTTGAGTAACAAAAAAAGGGGAATGCATTTTTGAAGTAACTCACCCTACACTTGTCACAGTGTATGTCTTATCACCTCATAAGACAGGTGACAAAAATAGACAGGCAAGAACAGCAGACGTAACAGGAAACGGAGGGTGTTAAGCGGTGTGTTCAACCCCTTCAATAAATTTTTGTTTAGATTTGTGTAATATAGTTTGGAAAACACATTTGATTAGATTGAAAATCTGTATTATATTTATTTAAACTTGCATGTTAATGCGTAACTTTTGAATGGATTCTTGAGCTGAGTCAGTTCAAAAGATTTCTATTCAATTAATTCCTTAAGGTTAACTGACACCAAACCACTGAGAATAGGTCACTGTATGAACTGCACAGCTGCTTTCCCCAGGTAAAGGCCATGGTTCCCAGGTGTGTATTTTCTGCGGTGACAAGTTGCATTCACAGAGAAAATGAAGCCTTTCATTCTTAAGATGTGTCCTTTTCACTCACTCATCTGTTTTCCAGCTTTTTTAAAATTTGTTCCTTGTAACCGCCCTTTTTTTTTTATCTCTCTGCCCTTTAATTTCAAATGAAAGCAAGGTTTGTTGTTTTGTCTAATATTAAAGAGTGGTTCTGGAGTCTTGAGAGTGGGTCAGGGCTGACACAGTGTTAAGGTTCTCTCCCCATCGCCTTCTGCTCACAATCCTAATGGAAATTTTGTTATGAAGTACTTAGAAATAAATTAAAACCAAACAACATAACCTTCAGAATAGTAATATAAAGAAGTAAACATGAAAAAGTCAGAAACCAAAGTGACGTGTCTGTTTCGACAGCTCAGTACTGTAACTAATGAACAGAGCACGGTCCTCAGCTCTGTTCATGTGAAATGTAGCAGTTGGAAGGTAGAAAAAACATCTTGCTGGTAGGCACGCGATACAGCCCAGGTGATTACTCTGCAGTCACTGCTATAAGTTAGCATTGATAGCTAACACATAGCATTAAAGTTAACTAATAAAACAGGGGTTGATCTTTTCAAATTCACACTCTGTGAAGCAGTTTTTAATTGTATCTGATCTGAGGTTGTGAATCCATGTTTCAGCAGGGGGCAGTCTAGGCACAAATTTAAACTTTGATCTTGACATTCAATTTAATTTTATTCTTAGTATTACCACTCAGTGGTTGGGTACTTGGGCTGAAGCTTTTTTTGTTTGGTTTTTTGCTTATGGAAAATCAGCTACAACAAACTGTCTGAAAAACAACCAGTAGCTTATTTTATAATTTTAAAAATACCAACATGCACCTTTTACAATACTTTTTTTGCCAACAGGTTTTTGTGGCAATTAGTCACCCCTTCAGTTCCGATTTGTCTACTGGACTAACCTGTCTTCTTCTAATATTTTCCTCTGCAGCTCTGTAATGTGAAAGATTCACCTAGGCATTCAGACGAAGAGGTTGGAACGTTCACCAAGTTCATTGAGGCCATGGGCTTCACAGGACCGCTCAAGTACAACAAATGGGTGAGGAATAAAGTGTTTAATATATGTTGGTTTAGACTGTAGCACATGTTTTTTCTTTTAATAAAAATAAAATGTTTCTTTGCTCCTGTTTTTCCTATTTAATAGTGACAGATAGCGGCTACATCAAGGCTAATACTTACTTGATAAAAAAAAATCAAAAACTTTATAAAATACATATTTTTATTGCCATGATATTCATGGCAATTGCATGGTAGGTGCTTTATCAAGATTATCAGTCAATTGAGTAATTACTTTTATGAATGTGTTTCTCCTTGTAGAAAATCAAAATTGCTGCGTTACGAATGTACACATGCTGTGTGGAGAGGATCAATTACGACGACTTCTTTGAAAGTAAGTTTTAGTCACTTCCAAGCTGTAATTTATTTTGGGATCTTTATCATTAATAATGCCTTACGTATAGTCAACCCCAAACTTTCTCTGCAGCCCCTCCCTCTTGTAAATAGAACTGGTAAGACAATGTGTAAGAACAGAAATATTTACAGTAAAATAAGTATAAAGTAGTAAAACAATAGTGGTCAGGGTGTTCCAGTGAGAGAGGGCAGCTATGGAACGTGCTCTGTCTCCCAATGTTTGATGCATTTTTGAAAGGAGCATTACATTTATTGTCAAAGAATATCAAGAAAAAAACATGCACAGAACTACACATTTATCATTGAAGCCATGCTTTTCCTTCTTGGTCCTGCAGGAGTTGAGAAACATCCAGAAATGTTGTCACCACACAGCTGACAAATGTAGTTGACACTTTACTACCTGGCACACACTACACTCACTAATAATACACACACACATACACACACTTGGATCCCACCTGATGATCCCACTCTTTCTTAAACACTTAGTCGTCGTATGTATGGTTGTTTTTGCTTCACAGTTTAAATAATGTTTTCGATTTGCCAAAAAAAATAGGCACTGAGGGATATAATTTTTCACTGAACCAAAAAAAACAAACAAACCATAAAACACACTTGCTGAAGTACTTCTCCTAAATATCTCACTTTAATTTCATTTCATTATATCATTTCCAAAGTATAAATAAAATCTGTTGTTCGTATAGATTGCCCACTGTATACTAATCAATGTGATTAGTATGGCTGCGCTGTTGCAGTGCTGGTGGTGGTTGATCATTACTGGTTGATGTTCAAATGTTCAACATTACAGAACCCATTAAAATTTACAGGTTAGAGAAAAAGTTTTGTTCTTGGAAAATGTGGTCGACCTGTACGTACATCTTTTTCTCACTACATGACATGTCAATATACGTTGTCGTTGTCATGTTATTCTTTCAGAATGTAACCTTCCTGATACACTCAACTCCTGGTTTTTGGTTGCGCAGTTGCATGTTTGGTGAGTTTTGCACACTACTAAACATACAATCACCAAACATTCAAACACACAGTCTGACATGACAAACGACAGAAAGACATGCTCTGACTTTCATCTGTCTCTGCCTTTCGTTAGGATGTGTCTGGTGCGGATGCGTCAGGAGGGCAGAGAGGGGAAGTACATGTGCCACTACATTGTACACTCAATGTGGGAGGATGTGGAGCAGAGGAGCAAAATAATGGGGGTGAGTGTGACGTCTTCACATCTGTTCTCAGGATTAGTTGAGACAAATTTGCAAGTGTAAACTCTGGGCTCGAACCTGAAACCTTCCGGACCCAAGTCCGCTTCCTTAACCACCAAGTCACCACTGCCCCGGCAGGTGAAGGTGAGGATCAAATGTCACCACTCGTATTGCCTCAGTACAGTCCCCGACTGCCTTGGGAACCAATATATGTTCTTTGCAAATTCTCTGTCCCTGCGGCAAAGTAACATCATGGATGTAGTTGTAGCTGTGAACCCATTTACACAGCCTTCATCTTTTTTGACGTTATTCTGTTGTTTCTTCAGTCGTCTTCTCCGTTACTCCTGTTGCTTCTGAGCTGTACAGCACAACAGCACCCCCGTGATTTTTGGTGGTACTGCTCAGTTTTCTCCATTGCGTACTTGCAGTAAGCATCCGCAAGCTCTATGACAATGTACTGAATTGCACACGTGACAAAGTGAGAGGAACAATGACAGGCTCGGTGTGCCTACTAAACATTGAACAGTATTTAGGCTTGAGAGGAATTCTCCTTAGAGGTCCTTGTCTAACAGGAGCTTCTCTGTTCATCCTGGCCACATCCCCTCTTAACCTCAGTGTTAAAAAAACCAAAAAACAACCACAATTCCCCAGAGATAAGCAAAACTGGTCTCGTGCCTGAAAATGACTGAATGTCCCTCTGTTGAAATACATATTCATTATTTCATGAACATGATGCAACAGCACATTAAGTTTTATTCGTGCCATTGCATGCTATATAGGATGCAGGTTTTGTTGACTTAGAGTTTTACATCAGCATAATTGCAGCCACAGTTGTGGACCAACGAGTGTAGCCAGGTCCCCAGAGGGCCAGCCTGGCTGCAGTCGCTGCGTCCACAGAGTCGCGCCTCTATTCTCTGTCAGTGGAGCAGCTCCAGGAAGTGTCGCTCATTGGCATCACTGACTTAAATCCTGGCTTTAAGACCAAACCTCTTGCACTCAAATGATGCTAAAATCCGAAGTTGACACGACTGCAACTGGGTGTGCAACCTATGGATGGAAGCTGACAGAGCAGGATGAGGAAAGGGAGCCTTATGCTGGTACTCACTACGTTTTTTTTTTTCTCAAGAATATTTTTTTATTTTGACACCAACTGGTATATAAGTAACATTTCCAGGACTAAAGTGAAACGAGCTGAAACAGGTATATTTTCTGCCACAGTGTGGGTCAATTAAGACAAATTCTTCCCTTTTTTTTTAAATTAAATGCCCAAGTAGATCAGTAATTATTACATGATAATTCCCGGACTTTGTGCTTTAAAACACCTGGCTTTATGATTCAAAAGAATACTTACGTATGACAAAATGAGTGTACACTTGATGAAAAGTTAGCATCAGAGTCAGCTGTTCTGTGTTAGTTTTGTTGATAACATTACTCTGTGGTGTGAGTAGTTGAAGCTCCTGTGGCCTCCTGTGACAGAAACAGGCCAGAAATGAGAAATTACAGTTACAGCTTGCAGAGTCACGCTTGGCGTGTGTGCACACATGCATTGGGCGGGGCTCGGGGGGGTGTATGTGTTGTGTGTTTTTACAGCTGCACATGAACTGTTAGTGAGTGTAAACATGCCTCACTGTGGTTCTGCTTGACCCACACACAAAAGTGAAACTGCAAAGTTGACTTTTGTAAATAATACTTTAGTGTGAATGGCACAGCAGAAACAGTTAAGACACGGTTTATTCAGTGACCTCTGACCCTTCACTGCCAAATAGCATCTTCAGGAAGATCAAATACTGTGTGCTGTTTGATGACCTACAGGAAGTCACTAAACTAACACTAAACATGAAGAATTTTCTTTCTGGAATTTGCTGTGTATCTGATGGAAAGAAATAAAAAGCTGTAGTCCCAACTAATGAACCGTGAGTGTCCCGAGGTGGTAACTGTAAACAGGGTTAGTCTGTTGTAAGAATCAAACCTCAATATGGTTTTTTTTGTGTGTGTTTGAAAGATCTAATTTTTAAAAGTACTTTGAGCGGGAGTGAAAGTCACTCATCCTTCCACTTGACAGCCGCTCATCTCCAAGGCTTACTTTATTATGTGCCCAGATGGAAGTAAAGTAGACAGTGTGAGAGATGATTTATATAAGATAAATGTGTTGCATACTACTGTGTACTTTCAATGACGATGTGAAATACTGCATGTCATCAATTCTGTCTCTTTTTGTCTCTCTCCCTCTGTCTCTGTCTCGTTGTCTCTCTCCCTCACTCGCTTTGCTTCTAATAAAGATTGATGCCACCCATAGAAAGGAAGGATTGAAAGTCATGACCGAGACTTTCTACGCTGCAATCTTTGGATATGATGAGGTGAAATACGCACTTATTTATCTGACTGCATATAATTTTTGAAGAAAATATTCCATTTCACTTTACTTTGAGTTAATTATTTCCTCCTGAAGTATTGGTTTCACACAGTTAAAAGAAAGTAAGCACTTAGTGAAGGAGTAAATACGAGATGATATGTCTTTGTGCCTGTAGGGAATTCTGTCTGACGACTGTGTGCTGGCCTCTGCCCTTTGGAAAAATCTGTTTGGTTGTCAGTGTGAAGAGCCTCAACAGCTTGAGCTCATGGTGGAGTATGTACGGAAACAGGTGCGTTCTTTATGTACCAGTCCAACAGCCAGCTGACTAGTGCGTAAAACATGGTTTCAGTAAATACAAGAGAAAAAAATCAATCGGGTATCAATGTCAGGTAATAAAGTGAGGAAAACCAGAAATTATCTAGCAAAAATATCAAAACTCTAAATGTATACTCGTCATGTTTTTAAAAATCTTGTAATTTTCCACAACAATGTGACGTTAGATTTTGTCAAGATAATTGAACATTTCCCAAATCTCAGACGGCTTTATAAATAAGAACACATGTTATTTGGTGCTGTTTCCTGCTGGCTATTGAGACACTGCTACAGTCATTGGAAGTATTATGTCAGCAGTTTTGGCGTTTGTGTTTAATGCATTGTCATGAGTGTATAATCGTGTTTTTAACATTTGGATTTTACAATATATTAATATAGAAACCAAGTAGGAGTGGTCCCAGTGTATAGCCATGTGGATCTCCTACTGTTTAGCTTGTTTTGGTTGATTTAAAAAAAAAAAACACTTTAAAAAGTGAAGGAAAGTATTCTTTAGCTAAATGTTTTTCTTCTCGTCTTCCTGCAGATGCAATTTATTGACGCTCTTGATGGCCAGGACCTGCTGCTGACGGGGGAAGTGAAATGGCGTCCTCTGTTGGAGGATAACGCACAGAGCATCCTTAAGGTGGTCACACCCACGTACAATGACACCGGACTTTGAGTGGAGTAGACGTGGGTTACTGTGATGTCGCCCTCACTTACTTTTCAAGTGTAGGGTTTCCTTTCACGTAGTTTTGTTTTTTTCATTTTCTCTACTCTGTCACTCTTTTTTCATTTCCCCTTCACTACATCCATACTTTGCCTTTAGTTAAATATATATTAAATATATATTCATACCATATGCTTTAGATTGGCATTATCACTAAAACCCAGAAATGAAGAGGTGTATTGACTACACCAACAGTTCTGGACTGATGTATGAGACGTTCAGGACTGATAATGTCATCGTAATTCAATTTTCATGCATGGACCAAAGAAGTAGGTCAAACAGGTCTTGAAGTCTAAAGTAAAATAAACCTCAGTCAGTGTTACCAGGTAAGAAGCAATTGGATGCAGCCAGACCTTTTTTTTTTTTTTTTTTTTTTTACTTTGAAGACTTCAAAAATCTAAAGTTGGTTCAAAGTCTTAGATCAAACCAACCACAGACAATTTTCAGATTTTGTTTTTGTGATTTAAGTTGTTTTCCTAAGTCTAGTAAAGTATGGTCTCCTTTAGACCAACATAGACAACGAATCAGGGTGTTTCTGTGTGATTACTGGTTTAGAGTTTGGATTGGTTGATGTTGTTGATTCTGGACTCACCTGCTGGCTGTAAGATGCCAATGTTAAGGCTTCAAAACAGGAGATTGCAACCAAAACACTTCGTCTGTGCTAGTTTCTAACTTAACCCCCCTTCACTGTCTGCCTTTTCTATTGTTAGTTGCATTAGTATGGCTACAGGTAAGCTCTGACAACTCACAGATGTTGCTGTGAAAGTAGTAGTACTGGTCTATTCCTGTAGATGTCATGCTCGTTTCAAACCTTAAATAGGAGAAGAAAACAAAAACTCATGCACTATCACCCTGTTGGTTATCAGAACCTGTATTTATTGCACCTCTTTCCTCCTCCTGAACCACACTTTTAGTATGGATTTATGTCACCACTGTTTACACCACCAACTGAGATTTTTGTCAAAGCATGTAGAGATAAATGTCAGGTTTAAGGGACCTTCAGTCGTTTGGGTGCCATTATGTCACAATTCTTTTGATCCTCTCAGAAGTGAACAGGAAACTCGAGCCTGATAGTCATCAAGTGTAATCAACCGTTCTTGTTTTTAAAAAATATTGAATAATAAAATGTTCTCTGTACTTGTCAATCTTTACAGCTTCTAAGTGTTTGTGTTTGTTTTTGTGGCTTTTACCCTGACACGGGTGATAAATGGAGATAGGGGTGTTCAGAAGGTTAGGGTGATAAAGAACATGAAAGTTTACTTGTGAATGAGAAGAGTGTAGACAAGATGATGGATCAAGAAGTGCCCAAGGATTAGTATGAAGACGTAGGGCAGTGGTGGTTAGGACAAGAAGTGTAAAGACGCTTGATTTGAATGACAAATTTGTATTTGTATGGCATTCTCAGAATGGCTGCATGGTAAAATGGCTAAATCAGAAGCACCCTTTACAATCCCCTGCTTTCTGTTAGGTAGGGTCTTCATTATAGATTGATTTGGTTGTGATTAAGTATTCACAGCAAAAGAGAATGACTTGAGTGTTACCATAGTATTTGGTGTGTAAGAACTAAGGGCAGTTGATGTACTGTATGTACTTTATTTTTAACTCGTATTTATACAGTATTTCACATAACAGAATTGCCAGAAAATAAAGCCACTATAACAATAGTGCACAAAAGGTGTTGTAACTACTCGCTCTACGTTCAAGTGTATATTGGTTCTGTAAAAAACAAACAAAATGAAAGTTGAACTTCTGTTCTTTTGCGTCAGACATCTCAAACAACGTTTCCCAACCTTTTTGATTTTTTTGTGGGAAAAATCCCAGCGTGCACTATCAAACAAAAATGTCACAGATATAAATGTTATCAAATATAATTATCTCTATAAGGGTGAAACCTAGGCCTGTTCAGTACAACACTTGTAAACTCACAGCAATTGAAGAGGAAGTCTTTTTTTTATCTGTTGCCATCTAGTGGAAAATATTTAATTGTTCTGCCTATTAAGCTGAACTTGGGGCAATTGTTAGCAGTAAATATGATGAAATGATTTAGACAAAATAATGAAACTGGATATTTTCATACAGTACATTAGCTGATCATTCATGGCGCACTATATGCCGTGGAACAGAGGTTGGGAATGACTGATCTAAAAGTCCATCACATATGTACGAGCCTTCATGAGACGCTTGAGGCGTCCCTGTAGGGCAGCCCTCTTGTGCCCAATGTCTTGCTCCTCTTTCAGCCAGAATTCCAAATTCTCCCTATTCTGGAGCATCTGCAGCATTTCCCTCTGCAGTTGGACAGCTGACTCCTGCAGCATCTGGTAACGGATGATCATCGGAATCTGGTCTGCGAGACGCTGGCTGGCAATCTGAAGGTACAACCAAAAGCAACAGTGTTTTTTTAAATCCTTTAACCTTAACAATAACACTGTGCAAACAATTAGTGAGTAAAGGGGGTAAAGTTTGCACACTGCTGTGTCCCTCCAGTTTGAAGGGATATCTGGGCAGACCTTGGGAGGCCAAGCATTTTTGTTGGAAGATATGAAATTGGTTGATGGTTTGAAACCCACTCTTATCTCGTTAGGAATCTCAGCCCACAGTAACCTGGAAAATGTTACTAAAGACTATCTAGTCACACAAATTACCCTTGAAGCATTGGAAATAAACCAATGCGACAAATAATGCATTTAGGAAAAGAATGTTGGGTTGCATTTGAACAGATGGTCAAGAGGCTTTTCTAATCCCCCAGAACTTTTTAAACATTTCATTTCACTGATTAATCAGCTGTGATTCAAATTTGGTGACCTACAGACCAGCACTGGTCCCTGGACCAGGGGTTGGAAACCCCTGACTTAAATGACAGCCTGTTAGTGACAATGGTTTGGTTTCTGAGGTTTCTACAGACCTGATGCCGAAAGGACAGTGGAATTGAAGACAGCATTTATAAACAGGACGATTGTTTCAACTAACCGTGTAATATGATTGAAGGTGCAACATTAGTTGTTGAAGAGTTGCGAAATTGTCAATCCTGTCAATCTGATTTTTTGAGCCTTTTTGTTGTTCCTTCTCCTCTTTCTTTCTGTCACTCAAACTGTTGCTGTAGGTGTTGTCCTGGGAGTAAACAATCATCTCCATCTTAAACTGGGTCCTCAGCATGGCTTCGGCCATTGACTCCCTTTCTTGCTTTATGGCTTCAATCTTTGCCTGTTGAAATGACATTCTGGTCAGTCTAAAACTCAATAACAGCACATCAACCTCAGTGGCACTCCATGACAGACCTTAGCTGTTTTCTGAAGGTTAGGAAATCCAGTGAAGCTACTTTGGGACAACTGTATGAACACCTTCTTAACAGCCTCTAGAGAAGAAACAAAATGCTTTAATATACAGCATTTGCCACACACCAAATGTATATTTTTCTTTCCTACTGAAATAAAGCTGCTGATTAGTTTATTCTGTCATGATTGATTTTTGATTCATCACTGGGCAGCAATTAATAATGTTAATAATGTTTAAAATTGGTACATCTAACCTGGTTACCAGCCACCAGCCCATAACCATTAGACTTATTATTTGCAATTAATTGTGATAACCTCAATTTTCAATAATTGATCATTTGTGATTAATCAAATGGTGATGGAAACATGTCAAGAATTGTGGTTATGCAACATATATAATAATTCTGCTAAACTTAACTTAACAATGGGTGCAGCCTGATTTTGCAACAACAAACCTCCAATATCCTTGAGTTTCTTGACCGCAGGTTCTTCTAGCTGTTTGATCTGCTCCTTCACCATGACCTCAAAGGTCTTGTAGTTGATGAAGCCAGGCAGTTCTCTTCCTCGATACTTGTCTTCATAGGCTTCCACCTCATTCCTAATCTTTAAGTAAGCTGGAATACAGTTATTATTAATATAATACGGTCAATAGATCAAATTAATCCACATATTTGAGAAAGACTCAATTGTTCTTCCCACTCACACCACTTCCTCCACCTGTTCTTTTGTGTTGGACTAAAACAGCGTTTCCTAAACTTTTTGAGCCACTAAAAAAACCTTTCCTGCTTCATCAGAAATTAAAGGACCTACTTTTGTATCCTATTTGTTCCAGATGACCGCTCAAACCCCGAAACTCTCTTCTGAGTGAAGAAAAGACGTTGAGCTTCTCCCCGCACTTGAGCTCCTCTCCTTTAGTCAGACTGATGGCGTCCTGTGTGAATGCTGTCACTTTCTGAACACAACATGTGACAGGGAATACAGCTGAACACAGTGTAAAAAAACAAATCCTTATCTGTTTTACATTTTGTTTATGTGATAGCTGAGTTTAATATAATATCATTGTTTTACTATAGGGACATGAGGACATGAGACTAAATTGGATTAGATTGAATTATACACAACACAAACGTTGAAATTGTTTATCTTAAATCAGATAAGATTCAATTAGATTGTACGAAATTATACAAACAATTGATGGAAATAAAAAAAACCCTGTATACTGTAGTTTAGATATGATATGATATCTACTGAATTCAGATTAAATTATTTTAGATTAGATAGATTACATTTCATTGTCATTGGCATATGTAATAGATACATAGGGAGAAAATGTTCATGTGTAAGAGGGTGAAGGAACTTACATCAATAAAAAAATTAAGTCTCTCAGCTACATCAGACGGGGGTCCGGTGCCATATTTCCCAAGCTCTGTCTGTGTTTGTTGAAGTTTCTCCTCTATCTGCTCTTCCAGTCTCGGAAGAGTTTTCTAAAAACCACAAAGTAGAAGTCAGTTCTCCTTGGCCACAGAAGCAATAACTAAGCTGAACATTGACTCCTCTTTTCTGTACTGAAGGTTATTCAAACGTAAAATCCAATGACACTAAAGCCTAAACCTTGACCCATCGAGTCACCGGCATTAATGTCAGACTCATGTCCACATAATCTATACACTTATACACGTATAAAAAAAATGTTTTACACTCACAACTTATCTTTTGGTTTCTAGTAGCAATATATACTGTCAATCACTGTGTTCTTCTAGCGCCTACATTTTTTAACCCGACCTTCCCTTAACCCCAATAGACAACAGTGTCACCCAGTGACCAAAATAAGGTATTGAACCCTTCCACAGTATGATTTCTTTTTTGTCTTTTAAACAGTTGAGATACAATAATATTATTGTATATGATAATGTAATGCAATAATATGTATTAAGGCTCATCCAAATTAATCTTATTACATTAATAAAATCCCACAGTGCACCACCAAACAAAACTTTCACAAAGAGAACAGTATGTGATGGAAAATAATGAGGTTCTAGTTTCAGTTTCCTCACAATTTATTTACTCTTTGTGCAAACTGGGCCTGTTTAGTTGAACACAATGCTGGCATACTCACAGAAATTGAGGAAAGAAGATCTAACTCTTATTTGTTTTGCTTTGCTCTGACCACTAGTCTTACTAGGGCTTCATGAGGGAAAAACAACTCACCTCGATGTGATGCACCAGCTCGAGTGTGAGTTTCTCTGCCAGTTTGGGAACAGATGCAAGGCCTTCATCGTAGAGAGAGCTGCAGCAACAATAAGCCATTGAATAAATGCTACATATTCTGTGAAACAATATGTTTTGGATGTTTGAAAAAAAAAACAAAACAACAAAAAACGACTAACCAGAAGTACATGTGTTCTGTAAAGAACTCTTTCTCTCTTTCTATTGCTTCATTGAGAGATACCTTCTCCATGATCTCCTGTTGACCCCTGCACTTAACAATCATGTAGCCCTTATTCAGGCTAATGACCTCATTGTGGACAATGTCAACCACTGTCTGTTCTGTGCCTCTGTCCACCAGGTCAGGCTTGGTCAAGATCGCTGAATAGGAAAGAAAAATGTTCCTCAGGATTAGGTCACGTAGCCAAAGTCTACCCCAGTGGTTTTTGATGTCATACAGTATGTATGTATGTATGTATGTGTGTGTGTGTACCTAAAGTCCTCTCCCCATCAGGATCCTTCTCCTGTGCCATCTTCAGGGCCTCTGTGGTTGCTAAGTCCACATTGCAAGCATGGACCACCAGGCAAATGGTTTCTTGTTTTGTGATAAACTTGTGAATAAGTCTCTTTATCTGAAAGAATTATTCAATAATGAACAACAGAAGAACTCGACATGTTACAGAGGTGACATAGTGAGCATGTCAGTGTGTTTGGGTTTCACTGTTGTATCCTGTGACAAACTTTAGGTTTGCAGCATTGATACAGGGCTCTGTGGCGCAATGGATAGCGCATTGGACTTCTAGCTACTCTGGGAATAAGACATTCAAAGGTTGTGGGTTCGAGTCCCACCAGAGTCAATGTTTTCAGTCAGTCAGTCAGTCATGTTCAGAGTCAGTGCTCAGAGTTGAATCCTAGCACCGTGCCACTCTTGCCCCCTCCTTTGATCCATAATAACCCGTCATACCTGATCTCCTATGTTTTCTGGTTGTCCCTGCACGGCCACTCTAGTGATGCCAGGGAGGTCAATGAGGGTAAGGTCTGGAACGTCCGGAGAGGCGATCTCCAGACTGATCATGTTTTCACTGATACCCACACCAACCCCAGCCATTGTATTCTGAGCTGGAGTACAGACAGAGGACAGGTCCGCTGTATTCAACTGAATGATCAAGATCATAGAAATAAGGAGCAAGAAATTTCTATTTTATATACATATTTTTAGTGTAGTATTTAGATGAGACAAAACAGCAACAGTTATTACAATAAGAACATATTTTTCCTTAATAGATTTTATGACATGGCCATTGACCTCTGTCAGTATAAGGGCAATGCATCAGAAAAAATATTGTTTTTGCAGTGATTGTTTTTCTTATTGTGGACATTGGTCTTCAATAGAACATGAGGATCCTTTATCAGGGTTAAGCCTTTTACGACTTCTTGACATGTACCTTCTTCAATCTTTTTCTCCACATCAGCAGGATTCTTTATTTCCTCCTCATAATTTTCGTAGCTTATTTTTCCATGCCACGCCTCGCCGTTGTTCTTCCTTTTCATCTTCAGTTCCAGGGGACATCTTGTTACAATTCCTGAACAATTGATGGGCAAAGGACAGAATATTTTGAAGAATTGTAATGAAATGTGAGCAAAGTGTTCAACCAATTAGAAATCAGTGGCTGTACCAAGAACAGTAGTGGACATGGAAAGGACCCAATACCAGCACAACCAAGTCAGAGCACCACAGCTGGTGTCAACCATTATACTAAACTAGTATAATCTACATAACAGTTGAAAACTGAAGTATATGAATTCCTGGTTACACTGCTTTTTATGACTACTGACGCAGACACTCGCAGTATTCTTATCGACCTCCATGACTGCCACCTACTAGAAACAAAATTCAAATCAGAAAACTAAACAACCCAAGCACTGAAAATGGCTCAGAACAAATCAGCGTTCTACTTATATATTCGCCAGTAAAAATTATAAGTGGTAAAGACTAATCTCTTTTGTGAAAGGCCAATATAATGTTAAAAGGAGGTAAAGAAGTTTACAGATTTTAATGAACGTCTCGTGAGCGCCAATTACCAATGAGAATATGTATTTTAAGACAGTGATTGGGCGCTATCCTGGAAATAGGCGTGTTTTGTGTCTCTGTTAACGGAAATAAGTTAAAAATAAATAGGGGGATGTTGTTCCTCAGCGTTTTACAGCACCAAAAGCTTGAATTTAAAAAACATAGCACCCGAGCTTATTTGCTATCATAACCATTTTGATATTAAGAGGCTGATAATATCTGTTAAAGACGTGTTTGTCCTTCAATAGTCTTTAATTTTCCTAATATTTGATTAGGCATAAATCAAACATTTGCATGAGGTTAAGCCAGATATATGTGTTAATTGCTTTCGTAAAATATAATGACAACCACCTTCTGGTTTAATTAAAAAGCTCCCCTGTTAGAATTTACGTCATTTATTTTACATTGGTCTTACCGCTTCCTCTTGGCAGAGCTACCCCTGACAGTGCCTCCAGCACCGAACTTTTCCCAGAGCTTTGGTCTCCTATCACGGCAATAGCGGGCAGCGCCAGGTCCTTCTCTATTCCAAGAGAGCGCAACGAGTCGATGAGGTCGATGCAGGGACGAACCTTTTCCTCGAAATGTACATTCAAGTCATTCATCGTGGTGGTGGTGATGTTCTAGCAGGAGATACGCGTCGCCTGAGGTTTACACAGTGACTGAGTCATGTACGCCCGCCTGTGCTTGGTAACACCTAGTAGAATGCTTAGGTTTCGTTTCCAAAAAACCGACACTAGAACAAAGTCAAAACTGAAAATAGTCATTCTGGGGAATTCACATGAACTATACCTTTGTAGAATTCTCAGGTCTTGCTATTCAGGAAGGACATGTACTGTAGGTTGATGTTTGAAATGTTTCTTTTAGTCCTTTACATCTTGTAGGAATCTTTTCTTGTCGTAGTTCCATTTAACCCCCATGTGACAGTATTGCAACTAGAGTGATGAGAGCCTAGCGGACATCAAAAGAAGGATTTAGTGTTGGTTGTTGGCAGAAAATGTTGGTAATGTTAATTTTTCTTACTTTCAGTTGGAGCCAGTATTGTCAGCCGTGACGTCATGCATCCAAGAGACTCTTAATTCCTGTAAGTATGGTTTCAGTTTTCTGACTTAGGTTTCATTTCTGGGACTATCTACTGAGTTATCAGTCAAAGCAAGTTTTTTTTTTTTCGATATAAACTGCTACACAGTTTCAAAACCCCTATCAACAGATGTAAAGTCAGGTCAAGATGTTCTAAGACACATTTAAAATATGAGGAATTAATGGAAAATCTTTACATTTTTTTCATTAAGAATACACATTTCTGCAAAGGGTGTTGTCTTTTGCACTATGTCAATCGCAATGGGGCCAAAATAGAAGTTCTTATGTTCAGTTTTATTTATTTATTTATTTTTTTCTGGAGGGGGAGAGTGGAAGCTCGATCAAAGATAAAAAGCTTCACATCTTGTTCAAAATATTTGGTTTTGCTTTGTTTTCAAATGTGTTCATTTAATGATAAAACATATTGTCATAGCTGTGCCAGACACCTGTATGAGCCAAGGGCCACTGCTGTCAGTATAATTTATCTAAATCACAAATCACAATTATGTCACCATGGTTGGTTATTGATACATAGAAACCACTAGCTGTTGTTTAAATAAAGATTCCTCAAAGTTCATAAAAGTTCATAAACTTTATGTGATAAGAGTCTGTGGTAATAAGCGCCATTTGTGATAAGCCTAACAATTAAGACAGATTAAAAACCAAATAATAGTAGGGAACTCCCTACTAAAGGGCAAGGAGGAATAAAGTTAAGTAGGAAAAAAAGTTTGGCTTGAACTTATAAACATTTAATACAATATTAAAATATACTTCATTGCACAGTCAATCACAAGTTTAATACAAATTTTAACCAGTATTGTTAAATGATATTGGCTATATTATTACAAAAATACAAAACAGCATAAATAGTGGCAAATGTGTATAATTGTGTGTGATTTTGTCTCACATATCAGAGTGAAAAAATTCCAGATTTTAGTCTTCTTTTTTTGGTGTCAACCTTCATACACAGTAAGCTTTAAATGCTGGCTGTTGGATGCAGAGATGTTGTTTAGCTTGATAAAGTTCTGGCTGATTTCCATAAATGTTTTGTTTTTGGTTTCTGGAAGGATCATGAAAAGGTAGATTGATCCTAAAACGCAGATCACCAGAAAAAACAGGAAGGCATTGGACTGCAAGCCCTCCTACAAAGAGAAGAACAATGGCAGGATTGTAAATAAAATGGGATGCTTTTTTTTTTCTAAATGAAACAACCTGACGTTAACCTGATTACACCTCATCACAGGTCTGTTTTCTGTCTGCAGAGTTGTTAAAAATGGTATCCCAGTTGATTTGCATCTTCGTCTGTAGATTTGTATAAAATAACAAAACACTGCCCAGTACCATTGCCATGTATAAAACAGTGTTCCAAACCAATATGTAAGGCTGTTGTGACTGTCAATAGAAGTCAGTAGGGTGCCCAATAAATAGATCAGGATCTACCAGTAGATTAACCAATGTAGTGTCTTCTGTACTTATGTGGCTCATTTAACCTTTAGTCCTGTCTACATACAGTATTAATAATTACATTATGTGTTTATAATTTTACTTTTTATATTTTACTCTTATATTTGTGTGTTAATGCAATACAATCGTTCCTAATCATACAAAGGCTCTCAGGCCAAAATAGTGTATGTGTATTAATATATGTGCAGGTACAGCATGTTGATCACGTATTAACTCACTTGAATGAATGGAAACAGGAGCCCCAGAGCAAAGTTGGACAGCCAGTTCACGGTGCCGGCGATCATAAAGGCTGGTCGACGGTAAGACTGTTCAAACAGCTCGCTGGTCAGGATGAAGGGTATGCCCCCTGGTGGAGAAAAACACAGAGTAAATAATAAAACCTTTCTTTGAATTTGAAACAGATCCATAATTATAACTATTATAAATGTTGACCATTTTAAGTGGTTAAAGATCAGTGGTAACATCTGGGACGATATAAATATAAAGCATGGATTTCTGTATTACATAACCTGTGGTTATGTAATACAGTGGTGCAATTTGCTGAAAACAAACAAACATGCAATCTTTGTGCCTTGGCAATGTTCAAATACGTTGCTTGAAGGTTTACTACATTTGGACGTCAGCCTGTAATCATAGTGTTATATGGGTTTTCTTTTATTGCCTTTAATTGGACCGGCTCAAGATCTGTAGCTCTTAATGCTTATAGAATTTCCATTCACACCCACAACTACTGCCTCAGGCAATTACACACACAAATAAAGATTACTTGGTGTTGTCGTGGAAATTTTATATGCACTACAACAAGTAATACTACATGTATTACTATCACTATTCACTATCACTATCACAACACTATCATGTTGTGATAGTGATTATCTGAAAGTGTCTCTGCCGTAATGATTGACATTGTCCTGATCCTGACCTCTTCACTAGGGGTGTGAACATTTACTACCCTCCTGCCAGGCGTCCTGCCTGATTAAATCCACATCTTAATAACATTATGGCCACAGAAACCACCAATAATAAGGCAGAATTCTTTGGTCATGGCAACACAAGGCTTATATTTGATTGGTGAAAACATAAGAATGGACCGTGTATTTTATATTATTCAATAAATATTCACTTTATATTGCAACATAAGTCACTGATTCTAATACTGTTTAGGCCAGCAGAGAAGGCCTTGCTGGCCTTGACAGTTCACCACTGTACTGTACTCTACTCAGGTAGAAAGAAAGTGTAGGACTTTGGTTTCACCTGGACCAGAACAAAAGGATGCGATCACTGCCAAGATACAGACGTAACTGAGGTATGGAATCCATGGCGTGCTGTCCTGTGAGGAAAGAGAGAGGGATTTCTGATTGACTGTGAAGGTTCTCTAACATTCACTTTGTGTTATTAGGTAAACTGAGGGAGAGGCTGACCTGGAAGTTGAGGAACACTGTGAGGAGACCAAAGAACACAGCCATGGAAGAGAATCCAAATATGAGGAGAATCTTTCTGCCTGTTCGTTCTATCACAATACCCTATAGAAAAGACAATGCAATATTTTTAGAAACCTTATTTTCTGTCTTGAGTCTTTACCAAAAAAGGGAAACAGCCATTGTCTACTGTCACATTAAGTATTAATCTTTCATTTTATACAACACTTACTGAGGCAATTGCAGCCAATGTCTCTACAGCCCCTGTGCTTAGTGTGATGTAGGGAATGATGCTGTCTGAAAAGCCTGCTGCCTTGAAAATTCTATGGGTGTAGTACCAGATCTGTGAAAAAGAAAAGTTATTATTTTTTACCATCGTGGAGGTAAAACACAAGCAGAGAATCAAAGTACATATTACATATCAAAAATAGCAGGATCTAGTCTTAAAAGTAAGTTAAGTAAAATGTTACCTGCGGGCAAGTTGAGGCGAATAAAATTTAATATCCATTATTTAGTCTAAAATTCTATGATCACGATTAGACTTTTTTTTTCTTGTTGGGTTTCCTTTAGTTAGAAACAATATTAGGTATGTGCAAATGAAGAGAAATTATTGTGTATAGGTAGTATATAAAACACAGTTAAATTTGTTAAACGTATGACTTAACACTTTTTTTAACTCAACTTGTCGGCAGCTAACTATTGTGTTCCTAGGCTAAGAAACTTGGAAAAATAACCTGCAGCTTACAGCATTGAGGCCACAGAGCTGATAGCAAACCATTGTGATAACAATGGTGATAAGCTGCCAGCGTACGTTGCGGCTCTTCAGCAGCTGTAGCACAGTGACAGTGGATTGGTTGCCCAAAGCCTGGCCTTCCTTTAGGACGTCTTCAAGCTCGCAGGTTACGTCCTTCTTTCCCAAAAACCTTTGAAATGCTGTAGAAGAGTGAGGAAGGGGTACATGTTTTTTTATTTAATTAATTAATTGATAATAGCACTTTTGCAGTATCTTTAAATTATTTTCATAAACTAATTTGAACGTGGTCTTATTTTGAAAATAGTATACAACATTAGTCGGAATAGTTGATAGCAATAGTAGTAGTAATATTTAACTTTTAGAAACTGTGCCTCATACACCTCTACTTACAGTCATGTCCACATGCCTATAATTACCACCACATGTTTTAAGTTTTTGTGTGTAATTCCTGTGGTTGGGCTCTGTACCTTTTTTTGCTCCAGCATCATCCCTCTTCTCAATCAACAGATAGCGAGGACTTTCTGGCAGAAAGGGAAGGACACAGAGCTGCAGTAGAGCTGGCACTGCCAGGAACGCAAACAGGAAGTTCCACCTAGATTCCTGCACATATTGGTATGAAAAAAAACACACTTTGGATATTCAGGCTGCCTTCAAAGTTTGTCAATCCATCATCAATACAGCAAATATTTTCTGTCATCTTAGATTAAAACTGGCCTGTCCCAGCAGCTCTGGCATCCCCAGCACTTGTCCTACAAACACACCCAAGCAGATCAGAATGGAGTTGAGCTGGCCAATAGAGCCTCTTATGTGTCTTGGGGAAATTTCTCCCAGGTACATGGGGAGTGCACTCAGTGCTATACCTGCAACAAACAGGTAAAAAAAACACAACTACACAATATAAATTCCATATATGAATGCATGACTTAAAGCATCAAGATACTTCAGATTTGCAAAATGTCACACATATATTCTCTCCTGATGTTAATTGGATATTTCTATCGTCTTGATTTTAAACTTTTAAACTGATTTTAAACAGACCATATTTCTCACAGATCATCTGATGCCGTTCAACGCATTACAGAATTATTTTTGGATTGCACAGTGTGTTCAATGCATTCATTTTATCAGCTTTACTAAAAATAAATAGATAGAATTGCAAGTTGTACGCTTGCCCCTGTGATGGACTCAAAACAAAGTCCGTTCTTGTGCGTAGCCCTACAAAGACTTCAACCTTTTAATAGACAATATCTCACTCTTAACCAAGCTGACCAAACCTTCTTATCTTCATGGTTGGTTGTAGAAGACAGCAGATAAGGCAGCAGATAAGGCCAACAGTACATGACACATGCCTGTAGTTTGATGAGCCTCAGTCACAGCTCTGAGATGACAACTGGAGCTATTTTCTAGGTCAATCAACCAAAGAAAGTCTTGGTCGACTGAAGCCATGAAGTTTTGGCTGTAGTCCATTTAATTTATATTAACTTGGTTTTGACCTTATTATTTTGCATCGAAATGAATTACACATGAGTCTGTCTGCTCTGTGCAATAACGTATGTCAACTAGTGATATCAGCAAGAACTGTTGAGGAATATTGTTTTGGTCATGTTATAATAACTGACAGACCACCATCATTTCGCTTTGAGCATGTTCTAGCACACGGTCTGGGTGTATCTGAGGGATGCTGCTGTTGTTGTGGGTGGGTGGCGTTTATTGGACACTTGTTACATCAATCTGTACTATCTTTGATAATTCTAAACACAATTTGGGACAAGGTTTTTAATTTGACCAATTAAACCTTCCTGCAAACTAAAAAAGGCAGATAATAGATGATTGGATGGATAAAACTATAAAAATGCTGGGCAGTCTCACACAAAGCAGGACACGTTTCAGTCTACCATTAAGACTTAAAGACCTCTGACCTGAGTCCACTCCCATGACGAGACGGCCAATTATGAGCATTTCAAACGATTTTGCTGTTTCACCCAAAGACAGTAGCAGTGCAGCTACAATGGCGAAGCTGTTATTGACAAGCAAGGTTCCTTTTCTGCATAACAAAAAAATAAATAAATTAAGAATTAGTAATTCATATTGGACTCATTTGTGATGAAGACGAGACAGCGTACAAGGCCGAGGCAGAGGAACTGTCGCTCTTGTGAAAGTGAAAAAGTGAATTATTTGTCATTGTGACACAGCTCACCACTGCACACACAACCAAATGTGACCTCTGTTTTTACCCCATCACCAAAGTGAACAGTGGGCAGCTTTAAGCGCCCGGGGAGCAGTGTGAGGGGAAGGTGCCATGCTCAGAGCAGCTCAGTGGCAGCTGGTGGACTCGAACCTGAAACCTTCCTTCCCTAACCACCAAGCCACCTATTGCCCCTATTGTACTCAGAACCAGGGCACACACACACACTCACTCTCAGACACATTGACTGACAGACAGACATAACACCGTCCCAATCTGCCACCTCCTCCCTCCCTTTATCACCTGTGCCTTATAAAGATTACAGCCACTTTACAACAGTTTAGCACACAGCGTGTTTTCTCAGTTGTTTATATAACACCTTCGCAGTGTATATCATACTTTCACTTTTTTATGCCTCTATTTTAAGAAAATACCTCCCTTCCCCCCCAGAAAAGTTTAGTCTGATGCTGTTCCTTCCTTATGTCGTTATTGTTCTTGTTCTTTGTGTTGTTCTTGGTTATTGTGTTTTAAAACACTTTTCTGTGGTCCAGTGGCTCTCTGGGAGCACTCAATTTCAGCGTACCCCTCCACTCCCTAATAACAATGACAATAAAGACTTTTCTATTCTATTCTGATTTAATATTCATGGATATTTTTTACAAAATACCAGCTTAGGAATCAGTACCTTAAAGACTAATAGACTCACCTTCCTAGTATTCCAATAATTAAAGAGGCAGACCACGCTCCCAGAAGTCCCCCAATAGAAAAAATGGACACTGTAACAGACCACAGTAAGGTAGCTGTCTCTGTCCCGATAGGCTGACCATATCGTTCCGTCCATGTCTTATTGTAGAAAGCTTTGATGTACTGCAACATAAAAGACACTGTTTCAACTTAAATAGTCTTTATAGCATTGAAAGCAATAATACACAGCTATAAAAGATATAATAACCATAAAAATCATTGTACTCGAATTACTTTTAAACAGTTGTTTCACAATACTTGGAAAGGTCTGACCTGAATATCTCTAGACCAACACACCTTCACTACGTTCACAAAGTGTTTACACAGAGATTTTAAAATGATTTCTGTGCACTACATAGTACTTTATGTTAACTCAAATTTGTAGTATTCAAAGCACCGGACAAATAACTAGAGGGTCGGTGGCTCAGTAGACTAGTCTGCACGACCCCTACTGGCTTAGGCTTTACATAAAGGCTTAAACGCAAGGTACAGGCGGTAACTGTGTTTTGAATCAACAGTTTGACTTACCACAGCAGGAGCGTTGACGACAGAAAGGTTGTATCCATAAAGGAAAGACGAACCCAGGGCACTGAAGAAGGCTGCAGTCAGCAAACATGCTGTGACAGGCTGCAATTAAATGAGACAGAAAGGACATGACACTCTTTATACCTTACTTCATACAGAACATGTCAGATGCCATATCGTTAAAGAGTCACATGGCTGTGACATTGATGTCAAGGTCAAACAAACCCCAAGGAAACTGAAAGAAGAAAATTCACGTGTATAGTAGGTCCAGGTCTATATAANCAGCCCTGCCAGTTAAAATACACCCCCCTCCTTGTGGTATGCCTATTGTTTTATGTGTGTTATCACCTCTCCTGCTCTCCAGAGTCTTCCACTGTAGTGATTACATGTGCCTGGTCAACACATGTTTAGTTATCTTTTTCTCTGCACTTCTTTATTTTCTTTCTTTCCACTTGTTAATCTAGTGTCCCTATGCTTTTTTCTTGCTTTTACGATTTTGGCTTTTGTCACTTGTTAACTAAATTAATAGTTCTTGACCGGTTTTCTGACTACTGGGATTTTCTGAACTTTTTCATCAAGCATGATCCTTACCTTAAACCCCAGCTATTAACAACTGATTTGGCAAAGAATGTGTTTAAAAATTGGGAAGAAGTCTTCAGATTCTAATAAATAAAATTCCCAGTTCATATACAAGTAGGAGCTGGGTTGTGAGTTAGCAGGTGGCAGCAGCTAAGGTGACAGACACTTAAAGATACTCAAAGCAAAGTAGTCCCAAATCGTTTGTTTAATCATTAGGACATTCCCTTTCTTATAATGATTCTGCCATCTCTTCCTTTAAGCACACTAACCTTTTCACAATTCTTCATGGAAATGTTCACGTCCTGGGATCTCTGCTCTTCATTCTTCCTTGGGTCCATGGCCGCCTTGAATGAAAATGTCTGGTGAGATACTTGGTCTAAATTGTATCTATAGAACTTGCAAAGCATTTGCTACATAGTCACTGTTAAGAACATAGGGACATACAGGGCAGGTTGGGTCAGGTTAATGCTAGCAGCGGCTGCACTGTGACTCCAAAAACTTCAGATGATCTAATTTCCCCTCATTTTCTAAGGTTGTGTTCACTTACCAGCACATGCATCCACAGCCTAGAGATGGAAAAGTCATTGTGAAGTGGTCGTGTTGAGCTGGTGAACCATTACCATTTATGACTTCCCCATGTACAGAAATGCTTCAATCTTGTTGCTTAAAGTCCATTGTGCTACTCCCCTCCCCCAATCAGACGGTGCATTCAAGCTAGTGTTTTAAATTCCCTGCGTTACACAGAAATCCTTGCAACCTGGCATGTTTGATTTAATCACAAGATTTAAAAAACTCATCAGTGATCCTCTACCATAGGGCTGCATCCCACAGTTGGAGCGCAAGCGCCAACAGGAGGGCCTCACGAAACCTTCACCTTAGAATCTGCAGGTCACAGGTCTTTACTGCAGAGCCTTTTTTGCTCTGATCTTATTTAGCTGCATCTTTAAGTGCAGCTGTAGACTGTGATTACATATTTTTTCAAGACTCAGGTTGTTACCCAGTAGCACTGTTTACTCATAGGTGTCATTTGACCACACAATTATTTACTTTTTATTTTCCTCTTACCCCTCGCTTTCATTAATAATTATTGATAATAATTAATTCAATTAACTTCATTTCACATTGCATAAAACTTGATGCAGCTTACACTGGACAATGTTCATCAAATTCCTGTAGAAATCAGAGTTCTCGACATATTGAGGCACTGAGTCACTAAATTGGGATTATATCAAACAGTTATGTCCACCCTTTTTGAGTTTTCCCCTTGTGGATTTTCTTGTGATAAACTGGCTGTTCATCACAAAAAAAAAATCCACAAGGGGTGCTGCAGGCAAGCACACAAGAAAGGTGGCAAGTAGCATATAAATAACATACGACTTGGGTTTCCTTCAAGACAAAGAGAGAGAAAGAAAGAAAACAAGAAAAACCTTCTCTCATTTTTGAGTGTTCACAACAGACTGTCACTCAGTGGCTCTGTGAGATCTTTCTGGCATCACTCAGTCTTTGTTGGGTTATTTTGTGTTCTCTGTGTGTCAATGGATGTTGCTCCTGCATGCTTACCAGTGCTTGTTGCTCCTGCACTGCTGTTCCTGCGTCCCTGTGTTCCTGATCGTTGCTGTTTGTTTCTGCCTGCCAAACGTTCCTTCGTTGACCTGTGGATTACCTGCCTGGACTCTGGATTAAATAAACCTCTGATCACTGTCTCATGAATGATACACAGGCCCTGCCAGCTTCCTTGTACAATTAAACATGACGTAAGCATTGTTTTCCTAGATACTGTCTTGATGTCTTTGGATGACAGTGGTACATTTTAGCTACGGCTTTTGTAATGTATTTTACCTAAAGCTACATTGAAAACGTTAAATATATATTTACTCATATAAACTGAACATACTTTATACCTTACATGTTGAGTGCTGATTAAATGCATGTAGTTGTATGGCACAGTATTATTACATTCTTCTACACAATATAGAATTATATTTATATATTTTTTATTTCAATTGTTCATGATCCAGCAGTACCCCCTTGGTGATCTACAGGTAGACCTACTGATTTGTTATGTTATCTGTTAACATATCAAATCACTCTTTTTCTATTTGCTTCGTTGTTTTCTCTTCCCTTTGGCTGCCTTAAATATTTAAAAATATTTGAACCAAACCAAAATGTAAACCTGCTGAAACATTTCATTCCGTAAAATCAAATGCAATAATGTTTCTCAAAGTGTGGGGCGGGCCCCACTGGTGGGGGACTGAGACATGATGGGACAAACAGGAGGATATGTTCAAGGTTCAGGTGCTGTTGGCACAACTGCACTTTTGTTTTATCTTTTTGAACTTTGTGTTATTTGATGTTATCGATCTTGATTCATCATAAAATATGAAGTCAGTTCAATAAATGTGAAATGTAATTTGATTTTTGTTGGGGCGACGGAGTGTGTGGCTCGGAAATCCCCCAATATTACAAAAAAGAAAAAGAAAAAAAAGAGGGGGGAATCACTTGCAAAAGTGTTTAGACCTTCTCTGTGGTTTTCTTACATTTCATGTAATTTTGCAACATTTTTGACTGACCCCTGTGGTACTGTACTTAAGTATTGGCTCAAAACGTTCATGCATTGACTGATTGGTCAGTTTTTCAAGTGAATTAATTAGGTTTAGGCTTTGATTGTTTTTATATCAAACCAATTTACTTGCGCTGTGTGTTCAGGAGGAATGCCCCCCTCACAAAAATCAAACAAACAAACAAACAAAAAATACAATAAAAAGAAAATAAAACTCCCCCACTTCACCTTAGGTTACACCAATGTGTAACAAATGTACCATTTCTTATTAAAAAACAAATTAGAATGCTTTAAATTTGGGGTTGGGCTCTATGCCTACGGGCCCACAAATTCTCTTAAACGCCCCTGCTGCCTGGGCATACCAAGCGTGTTCACAGAAAAAGGAGTTAAATGCGCTGAAAATACGATAATGAAACTGAAAAATAAGAGGATCCCAGTGGAGCACTTAATACAAACACTGGTCGGAGTCGCCACGTGAAGATAAATAGGCAAATAATCGCAGTTTGCCAATAGATTTTTGGAAACAGTTAGGTACAACAACTGCGTAATGCCTTCACTGCCCTCAGCTTCTCTCTTTGGTGACAAAACCGATCCAGGCACGTCGAGAGATAGAGTGAAAAACACAGAAATGTGAGTAAACATCGGTGTCCATCGCCGTGTCCTGTCTGTTCTGACGTGATTACGTTTTATCGACGATGGTATTGCGTGCGTGTGAGAATAGAGACAGAGAGAAAGAGAGATTCACGTGCCACACTTACAAACATTAGACTTTAGCTGCTACCCAACGGTTTTACCCATTACCAAAACAGTGAAATAGGTGATTTGAATTGTACTGTTCAGGTAGCATAAGCTTACATTGTACATGTAGTTCCCCTCCTGACCATTAGATGGTGCTATGTACTTCCAAAAGGGCTGCCCTTACTGTTACTTTTATTACTGTTACATATGGATTCTAATGAAGTAACTCTGTCAAAGGATGGATAGAAAGAAAGAAAGAAAGAACTATTAATGACATTGAATTGCCTAGGCACACTGATTTTTGTCCTGCTAAAGTGATCGACCGACATTGAAAACTAAATATATATAAACTGAATATCTTACTATATATAATTATAATGTATAATCTATATATACATATACATTATATGTTTTAGAGCTGTATTATACTTTCTGACTCAATACTTGATATGATGATCCTTACATTAGCCCTAGTGGTTAGCATTTTGAAATAGATTTACATCTATAATAATAATAATAATTATTATTATTTAAATGGAATTGGTCCAGGAAACCAGGAGACCCCGAAATATGTTCTAATGTACCATTAAATGGACAACCAGCAATACCAACGTTTCATGGGCCAGATCAATGCTTGACTAAGATATGACAAAACTCAAAGCTGGCACTTGTGTCTTAACATTTTAGAAATCAATGTGGGTACGTTTTGTGTCATAAGGTCATTAATGTTTTTGGCCAATGTCTGCTGAGGGCGCTATTTTCAGTTCTGTTCAAGTATTCGCTATTTCAAAAGAATTTAAAAAGTTGTAATGTAAATAACAAATAGACATAAACTATAAACCTTAAGAGCGTAAGACTTAAGGGTAAATGTGTAGTTCCAGACAAACTGTGGTTTTGGTTAACAAAACAAGACTTTGTGGGGAAAGTCAGAACTGTTTTTCCAACCTCCAAAGTTTTTTTTCCAATCAAGCTGAGTCTTGACACAAACAGACAGATAAAATATCAGTGAAACAACTGAAAGCAGAGCGTTTTTATACCTCTCTGTTATTACACAGTCAGACGCTGTCAAAGTTTTACAGTCGCTCAGCTGTCCACGTTGCACCAGAAGTGAGTGAGTTGGACAATTGGACTATTCTGTGTCCATGTCAGGAAATATACTTTTACACATTCAGACAGGCAGAAACATAAGGTAAGTGAATAAAAAGCTTTATGTTCTCGAAGACTGCCTTTCAGGTCAAATGTTTCACTGTTAGCCTAGTCCCAAACCTGAGTCATTCATCGAGTTTTCCGCTGATGTTCAAAATTTTAGTTTTATTTGTTCAAGAAATTCTCTGGTCTAATCAAGTGAAAGTAAAAGTAAAACCCTGAAATATGAGATGTAATGTTTAAGTTGATAAACAAACTGATGTTCACTTGTTTCACAAATTGTTCACTGATCTTCTGAGAGGAGCTAAAGTTAAAATTTGAAAATAAAGTTTGTATGAAAATGAGCAAGATAACTAAAACGGACCTACTTTAAATGTCAACCTTTGTGGCCTAATTAAGAACAATTATATTGTCAGTCCTAAATGACATGAGTTGCATGTGGCTTTGGATGCTTTTGCTTTATGCCCAGACTTAGTAAATTAAGTTATCCAGATAGCTCTCATGTGATCGGAGGGGTTTTTTATTGACTGCAGTTGCAGTTGCTTTGGTGGTTGTAGCCGTCTGACAGTCCTTGAGAGTAGAGGGTGAGTTTTTTTTTTCTCCTCTAATTGAATTGGACAGAATCGATAAATCTGTAAGAAATTAGGTGTTAATGTTCCCTTTTCTTTACGATAAGAACTGTGAAGAGCTAAAGGAGAACAATTCTTTTTCTCTGTAATTACACTTCAAAGTGCCAGGTCACAGACACGGGGACCAGGGTTGATAGCCCTGTAGTAGTTTTCTCTTGTAAGAAAAATATTAAGTGAAATTGATTATGCCCATGTGGGAGTTTTACTTTTCCATTTTTTCTGTTCATGAACTAAAGCTGTTTTATGCTCTCATTGGTTGACATGGTGATGAGACCCACTATAAGTTAGTACTGATCACCAACCTTGATCCCCCGTGACCCTTGGTTTGTCTGTGTACTGTATGGTGGAGTAAGCAAGCA